ACCAGTGACAATCATTCGTACAGCTAGCAAGCTAGAAAATAATTACTCAGCTCTAATCTAGTTTAAATCTTATTGGTGTTTTTGATTTAGTGTGGTGATACTAGATTGAGCCCGATAATTCTGGGATTCCTAGCCACTAAATACCATCGAAGTAAGTACACTGCTTACAGGTTCATACAGTTATAACTGGTGGTTATAAACAGGTTGTTGGTTATAGTTATAATAGTGGTGGTTATAAACAGGTTGTTGGTTATAGTTATAACTGATGGTTATACACAGATTGCTGGTTATAGTTATAATAGTGGTGGTTATACACAGGTTGTTGGTTATAGTTATAACTGATGGTTGTACACAGATTGCTGGTTATAGTTATAATAGGGGTGGTTATACACAGGTTGTTGGTTATAGTTATAACTGATGGTTGTACACAGATTGCTGGTTATAGTTATAATAGTGGTGGTTATAAACAGGTTGTTGGTTATAGTTATAATAGTGGTGCTTATAAACATATTGTTATTTATAGTTATAATACTGGTAGTTATAAACAGGTTGTTGGTTATAGTTATAATAATGGTGGTTACACACAGGTTGTTGGTTATAGTTATAATAGTGGTGGTTATAAACAGGTTGTTAGTTATAGTTATAATAGTGGTGGTTTTAAACAGGTTGTTGGTTATAGTTATAACTGGTGGTTATACACAGGTTGTTGGTTATAGTTATAACTGGTGGTTATACACAGGTTGTTGGTTATAGTTATAACTGGTGGTTTTACACAGGTTACTGGTTATAGTTATAATAGTGGTGGTTATAAACAGGTTGTTGGTTATAGTTATAATAATGGTGCTTATAAACATATTGTTATTTAAAGTTATAATAGTGGTAGTTATAAACAGGTTGTTGGTTATAGTTATAATAATGGTGGTTATACACAGGTTGTTGGTTATAGTTATAATAGTGGTGGTTATACACAGGTTGTTGGTTATAGTTATAACTAGTTGTTATTAACAGGTTGTTGTTTATAGTTATAATAGTGGTGGTTATAAACAGGTTGTTGGTTATAGTTATAACTAGTGGTGGGTTGGTTATAGTTATAATAATGGTGGCTATACACAGGTTGTTGGTTATAGTTATAACAGGGGGTTATAAACAGGTTGTTAGTTATAGTTATAATAGTGGTGGTTATACACAGGTTGTTGGTTATAGTTATAATAGTGGTGGCTATACACAGGTTACTGGTTATAGTTATAATAGTGGTGGTTATACACAGGTTGTTGGTTATAGTTATAACAGGTGGTTATAAACAGGTTGTTAGTTATAGTTATAATAGTGGTGGCTATACACAGGTTGTTTGTTATAGTTATAACTGATGGTTATAAACAGGTTGTTGGTTATAGTTATAATAATGGTGGCTATACACAGGTTGTTGGTTATAGTTATAACTGATGGTTATAAACAGGTTGTTGGTTATATTTGTAACTATTGATCGTTATAAAAAGGTTGATAGTTATAGTTATAATAGTGGTGGTTATACACAGGTTGTTGGTTATAGTTATACTAGTGGTGGTTATACACAGGTTGTTGGTTATAGTTATACTAGTGGTGGTTATACACAGGTTGTTGGTTATAGTTATACTAGTGGTGGTTATACACAGGTTGTTGGTTATAGTTAAAACTGGTGGTTATACACAGGTTGTTGGTTATAGTTAAAACTGGTGGTTATACACAGGTTGTTGGTTATAGTTAAAACTGGTGGTTATACACAGGTTGTTGGTTATAGTTAAAACTGGTGGTTATACACAGGTTGTTGGTTATAGTTAAAACTGGTGGTTATACACAGGTTGTTGGTTATAGTTAAAACTGGTGGTTATACACAGGTTGTTGGTTATAGTTATACTAGTGGTGGTTATACACAGGTTGTTGGTTATAGTTAAAACTGGTGGTTATACACAGGTTGTTGGTTATAGTTAAAACTGGTGGTTATACACAGGTTGTTGGTTATAGTTATAATCAGGTTGTTGGTTATAGTTATAACTGGCGGTTATACACAGGTTGTTGGTTATAGTTATACTAGTGGTGGTTATACACAGGTTGTTGGTTATAGTTAAAACTGGTGGTTATACACAGGTTGTTGGTTATAGTTATAATCAGGTTGTTGGTTATAGTTATAACTGGCGGTTATACACAGGTTGTTGGTTATAGTTATACTAGTGGTGGTTATACACAGGTTGTTGGTTATAGTTATAACTGATGGTTATAAACAGGTTGTTGGTTATAGTTATAACTGGGGGTTATACACAGGTTGTTGGTTATAGTTATACTAGTGGTGGTTATACACAGGTTGTTGGTTATAGTTAAAACTGGTGGTTATACACAGGTTGTTGGTTATAGTTAAAACTGGTGGTTATACACAGGTTGTTGGTTATAGTTAAAACTGGTGGTTATACACAGGTTGTTGGTTATAGTTATACTAGTGGTGGTTATACACAGGTTGTTGGTTATAGTTAAAACTGGTGGTTATACACAGGTTGTTGGTTATAGTTAAAACTGGTGGTTATACACAGGTTGTTGGTTATAGTTAAAACTGGTGGTTATACACAGGTTGTTGGTTATAGTTATAACTGATGGTTATAAACAGGTTGTTGGTTATAGTTATAATAGTGGTGGCTATACACAGGTTACTGGTTATAGTTATAATAGTGGTGGTTATACACAGATTGTTGGTTAAAGTTATAATAGTGGTGGTTATAAACAGGTCGTTGGTTATAGTTATAACTGGTGGTTATACACAGGTTGTTGGTTATAGTTATAATAGTGGTGGTTATAAACAGGTTGTTGGTTATAGTTATAACTGGCGGTTATACACAGGTTGTTGGTTATAGTTATAATAATGGTGGTTATAAACAGGTTGATAGTTATAGTTATAACTGGCGTTGGTTATACACAGGTTGTTGTTTATAGTTATAACTGGTGGGTATAAACAGGTTGATAGTTATAGTTATAACTGGTGGTAATAAACAGGTTGTTGGTTAAAGTTATAACTAGTTGTGGTTATAAACAGGTTGTTGGTTATAGTTATAACTAGTGGTGGTTATACACAGATTGTTGGTTATAGTAATAACTAGCGATCGTTATAAATAGGTTGATGGTTAAAGTTATAACTAGTGGTCGTTATAAATAGGTTGATGGTTAAAGTTAAAATAGTGGTGGCTATAAACAGGTTGACAGTTAAAGTTATAACTAGTGGTCATTATTAACAGGTTGACAGTTATAGTTATAACTAGTGGTTGTTATAAACAGGTTGATGGTTATAGTTTTAATAGTGGTGGTTATACACAGGTTTAAGTTATGGATGTAATAGTGGTACTGATAAACAGATGTTGGTTATAGATATAATAGTTGTGGTTACACACAGGTTGATCGTTATAGTTATAATTTGTGGTGGTAATAAACAGGTTTTAGTTATGGATGTAATAGTGGTGGTTATAAACAGGTTGATGGTTATTGTTAAAATTTGTGGTTGTTATAAACAGGTTGATAGTTATTGTTATAATACTGGTAGTTTAAACAGGTTGATGATTAAAGTTATAATAGTGGTGGTTATAAAAAGATGTATAAGTAGCAGGCATAGCAGGTAGCTATAGATAGGTATCAAATTATAGACAGGTGTTCGTTATAGACAGGTGATAGCTACACTGTATAGACATTTGATAGTTATAGACATGTAATAACTAAAGAGAGATGAACCCATAGACAGGTGCTAGTTATACACAGGTAATAGCTAGACAGATGAACCCATAGACAGGTGCTAGGTATACACAGGTAATAGCTAGACAGATGAACCCATAGACAGGTGCTAGTTGTACACAGGTAATAGCTAGACAGATGAAACTATAGACAGGGGTCAGGGATATGTTTGGACAAATTGTAATTATAGACAGGTAATAGTTAGTGACATGGACCAGTTATAGGCTTGGGAAGGTGGTAGTTTTATTGACAGGTGATGATTAAAGACAGTTTATAGTAATAGTCAGGTAATATATACAGACAGGTGTCATTTATACGTTTGACAGTGGTAGCTACAGACAGGTTACAGACAACCAGTAGTTCGTACAATTATACCACAGGTATTCACAGACAGTGAGTGTTATAGAAAATTATTCGGTAAAGGCAGTGGTATTTACGTCAAATATTTGTATTAGTTACAAGACTAATGGTGAATTCACCATACCAGCGTTTTTGATTGGTTAGAGCAAAATATTCGTTTCTTGTTCAAGACGGCTATGCAGGCCGCTTAGCGAATTCTAAGCATACTATATTTCCGCTTCAGTGTTGCTCCTACAAAACAGCGAACACTTTCGTAAAGGTGACACTGGTTGATACTTTTTGATAGCGTGCACAATTCAGTTAAACGGTTCCTGTTTCGAGGTCAATATGGAAACGCTTCTCCCTAATTCCCTGTTACTGACCGTCGTGAAATGGAGGCTGAGATTGGTCCATTACAGTTTAACGTTGATTTGGAGATTTCCGAGGAGCTTAGAATGCTTGGCTGTCATATCAGTGTGTTTAAATTTGTTTATGACTGAAAGGCTCTTCAATCTCTTTAATTTTAATCGATTTTCAGATTTATATGGTTCTTCTGCTATATTCTTATTTCCTTTTGATTTAGTTTAACATCCTTTGACAAACATTTATTAAATAACACATATGATAAACGTACATGGGCTGTTTGCTATAGCATATCATTTCGTTATGCCGTTCTATGTCTTACAGGTGGTGTAAGATCCTACTGCAAGTAGAGTATGACCGCAACACAGAAAACACTTTTCATTCATTAAATTACCTTCTGAACCTACTACAACCATGAATGAAGAATGATTGTTACGCTAGAAACAGATGATTGAGCTTGATCCTAAATATTATACAGTGGTAAGGCGTCACTTGGCCAAAAATAAATCAATTATCTTGCCTAGTTTAAGTGCAAGCCTGTAGTACGTACTTACCTTTGAATGTAAATGTCCTTAGATGGTCCGTCGTGAACGGTACGTGTGCTGAATGACGTGTTATTCCATTTACAAGGCACTAATTTACACACTAATATTCGACGTTTGTAAAACAACCACCTCCAAAGTGACAGCTTCGGACTGCTATATGAGCACGTACCCAGACCGTATGTTGCTGTACGGGGCTACATATCCAGGGAAAATAACCATACACCAGGTCCAACGACCGTTAACACAAATGATAAAAACACAATTACCGGCGGCACAACGTCACTAATTGCCAAACACGTGTCTTCGATCGTGCGTTGTCGAACTCTTTTCTTCGATCGCATACGTTACCGAACTCTTGTCCCCGATTGTCGCGTTTTTCGAATAATTGTCTTCAATTATGTGGCAGACCTCCTGTTTTCGATCATGCATTCCCGCTATAGGAACCTGTACAAGTTCACAGCGGGACCTACACCTCGCGCTGCCAAAATGATTAATGCACAATATGCGGATGTGACGGTTACCAATAACCAGCGCTGTGCCAGCCGAGCTGTCCGCTATCAAAGTCTATTACTCCTCTAACCAGTCCACCTACTCTCGGATTCTTGACCATATGTCAAACATTGACCACTGTCCGTGTATGCTCTTAGAAGAAGTTTTCGTTTATTCAATACTCTCATCTGCTGTGTATATGTGTTAGATATTTCTGTAGAGCGTGCGTATGCTGCCACACGGCTGCCGACGTTTGGCCGAGATGCTATAGGCCGAGTGTTGATTAGAGACAACACAGCGCACGTCTAAGCGTCTACTTACCTACACTGTTCGGTGATGTTTGAGCGTGAATCAAAAGTATGACACTAATCAGTGACATCTATCAAGTAGTTTTAAAGATTTGTCAGATCTGTATATTTATACACGGTTTTTGTAACATAAGTGAAATATAACACACCGGACAACTGATATGATACCTGAACAAACGGCGACAAAGGTGGCTGACGAATGGGAATGAGATGTTGATTTTGGAACGACTGGCAGACGCAGGAAGGGAGAGGTGGATCTTCGGACGACTGGCAGGCGCGGGGAAGGGATACGTTGATCTTCGGACGACTGACAGGCCTGGGGAAGGGATAAGTTGATCTCAGGACGACTTTCAGACGCAGAAAGGGATAATTTGATCCTAGGACGACTGGCAGGCGTGGGAAGGGGGAGGTTGATCTTATGACAACTGGCAGGCGTGGGAAGGGAGAGTCTGATCTTGGGACGACTAGCAGGCGTGGGGAGGGAGAGGTTGATCTTAGGTCGACTGACAGGCGTGGGAAGGGAGAGGTTGGTCTTAGAACGACTGAGAGGCGGAAGGGATAAGTTGGTCATAGGATGACTGGCTGTCGCAAGGAGGGATATGTTGCTCTGGGACGAATGAGAGGCGCGAGAAGGAAGATGTTGATCTGAGGACGACGGGCATGCACAAGAAGGGATACAATTATCCTAGTACGATTGGCAGGCGCGGGAAGGGAGGGGTTGATCTTGGGACGACTGACTGGCGCGGGAAGAGAGATGTTGCTCTAGGACGAGTGAGAGGCGCTCGAAGGAAGATGTTGATCCTGGGACAACGGGCATGCGCGGGAAGGGATAAGTTCATCTTCGGACGATTGTCAGGCGCGGGAAAGGGAAAAGTTCATTTGAATGTCTGGTCCAATGAGAAAGGATACAGAGAAGTGTCGGGCTCGCATAACTACAAATGTACATAAAATGAGCAGCAAGTTTTTCATACGATTGCAATCCCTAATCTAAGTCTAATCGTGTTAAAATGTAGACAGTGCCTCTGAATAACTTAAATGTGTTAATACTGACAGATTTGTATTTAATAAATTCTATAGGTATTGTATTCGGAAAATTTGTACATATAAAGCTGATAGCATATTTATAAGCGGTAAAGAGTCAAAGGGTTTTGCTCGCCGGTTCGCCTTGGAAATTACCATTGACAACAACTGGAGGCTGTGACACTCTTATATGCTATTTAACCTGTCAAATAAGGTCATTTGCAACCTCTGTAAGGTATTCACATCTATAAATCTAAACAGTAGTTGTCACTGGTGATGAACGTAAAAAATTACAGCAGTGGCTCAAAGACTAACATGTACTACAGGAATCAGCTGCGAAACACGAAAAATGTACACTCAGATGAATTGCAAACGTGGAAAAAGTTGAATCTCATCTTTGATAAGCCAGGAAAAGTGGATAATTTAATGAGTAACAGACCGGAAAAATGCTATTTAATTTTTGTGGCAGACAAGGGCAATAGGAAGCAGACCCCGGAAATGCTGGTTCTTTGGGACAGATCCGGGAAATAAATAACAGACACGTGAAATGCTGTTTTATTGTTGTGGCAGACCAGGGCAATAAATAGCAGACCCGGGAAATGCTGGTTAATGTACACATCAGAATACACCCTGATAACGTAGATAAAAATACCCCCTGATAACGTAGATAAAATACACACCGACAACGTAGATACAAATACACCCTGATAACGTATGTCAAAATACACCCTGATAACGTATATGAAAAAACACCCTGATATCGTAGATAAAAAATACGCCCTGATAAGTAAATAAAAATACACTCTGATAACGTTGATGAAAATACACCCTGATAACGTAGAGAAAAATACACCCTGATAACGTAGATGAAAATACACCCTGATAACGTGGATAAAAAATACGCCCTGAAAACGTAAATAAAAATACACTCTGATTACGTAGATGAAAATACACCCTGATAACGTAGATAACAATACACCCTGATAACGTAGATAAAAATACACTCTGATAACGCAGATAAAAATACACTGTGATAACGTAAGTCAAAATACATCCTGATAACGTAGATGAAAATACACCCTGATAACGTGGATAAAAATACACTGTGATAACGTAAGTCAAAATCCACCCTGATAACGTAGATGAAAATACACCCTGATAACGAAGATAAAAAAACACCCTGATAACGTAGATAAAATACACCCTGATAACGTAGATAAAATACACCCTGATAACGTGGATAAAAAATACGCTCCGATAACGTAGATAAAATACACCCTGATAACGTAGATAAAAAA